ATCACTGTAGCTTCACTTCCTTTAAAACGTTCTCATATTTAAACTATCTGGAGGATTCAATTGTATGTATTGGAACAATGCATACATGAACATAGGAGGGCCTGGCGTGCTCTGGCGGATGGGGTCACAAAGAGTGGGACACAACTTAATGACTAAACAACAACAACAATTGGAACAATGATAAGCATTGGATAGCTGGGTGCTTTAGGCACCTGATTGAGGAGCTAGAGGTTGGATGTTTGACTCCCCACTGGGCCTCCTAGAGAGGGAAGAGCAGAAGGTCTGGCCTTAGAAAGCCAAGGTCAAACAGCAGGAGTAAAGGGACACTAGTTCAGGGAACTTCATAAGAGGTTGATCAGGAGCTTTTAAAATGTGTATCCAAACAATTTTCTTTGAAACCCAGCTTTCTAAAGTCATACCTTTTGGTTTAGTAGTTTTGTTGATAAAACATTGGAAACCCAGATAAAAATGCTATCAATAAAACATTGATTACCATATTTTTCCATGTATAAAATGATACTTTTTCCTTAAATAATTTGAGAAAAAATTGAGGGTTGTTTTATACACGGAAGGCAGCTCTTTACCGCTGCCTTTTGTGAAGGCACGGGGCTTCCTTCCTTTTTGCTAAGCTCCGTGCCTTCTCAAAAGGCAAGGGCACACTGGGCTTAGCAAAAAGGAAGGATGGAGAGGCGTAGCTCCCTTTTTGCTAAGCTCCATGCCTTCTCAAAAGGCAAGGAAAAGCGGCAGTTACTTTGACAGCCGTTTGCTTCGCCTTTTGCCAAGGGACAGGGCTTAGCAAAAAGGGAGCCCTTTGATCCCCACTTTTTCTAATTTGGGGTTAGAAAAGGGTGGGCATCTCATACATTGGGTCATCTTATAAATGGAAACATACGATACTTGTTGATTCTACTTCTTTCATTCAGAATTAAAACAGATTTACTTAACTTTTTCTGGTAGAAAACTTTTTTAATGAGCTTTGGCCCTAGGGAAAAAAATTCTTATGTAACAGTATTGTGATGACATCAAGTAATACTTCAGTTGTTTGGTCATTTGAGTTGAAACAGCTTATGACCAAGTGCAGGAAATCTTTTTGTTTTCATTCTTGCAAGAATAACCTTGACCTTTCCATTGAAATACTTCCTGTTCAAAAGTAGTGGATTACAAAACTGCTGGCAGGAGTTTGACAGTTAGGAAATAATTTTATGTTTGAGACTACATTCCTATGGAAACCTTTGCTAACCTATATCAACATAAAGAAGCAGCCAGCATTCTAATATCCAGGTAGTTTGTGCAGTCCTTTTTAAACACATTTTCAGTGTCATATCACACAAAACTTGAGTTCGATTGGGCATGTAAAAATTAGTTACATCAGCAGAAACAGAGCCATAAATGAGATAGTAGTCTGAAGCCTTCATATGTTGATTATTTCTGTGAAAATTTCAGTAGCTAGATGTCATGTATATTTATTTATTTCATTTACTTCATCTTGTCTCATTTGTGGGCTGCCTTTTTCCTCATGAGGGGGACTCAATGTGGGTCACAATGCCAAAACAAGTAACATTAAAAATACAATAAATTACACATTAAAAAGCAATGAAACCATAATAACTATTAAATCACATTAAGTGATTACAATATTTAAATAAATTACACATTAAAAAACAATTAAACCATAATAACAACTATTAAATCACATTAAGTGATTACGATATTTGAAACTTTAAAAGCAAACAAGCATCCAGGGACTCTATAACGGCTATTAAAAGCGTGTATGAAGAGGTGGGTCTTCAACTGCCAGCAGAAGGATAAAAGGGAGGTGGGCTAACCCTGTGGGAGAGGGTTCCAAAACCTGGGCTCAGGCACAGAGAAAGCCCTCTCGTACTTCCCTGTCAGACGTGCCTGCGATGGCAGGGAACCAAGAGTGGGGCCTCCTTTGAGAATCTTAAGAGCCAAGAAGGCTCATATGAGGAGATACGGTCCCTGAAAATGCCCCAAGACAAGCAAAGCAGTCTGACAGCTGCATTTTGAATCAACTCAAGTTTCTGAGCCAGCTTCAAAGGCGGCAACCCCACATAGAGGGCATTACAGTAATCCAAGTGGGATGTAGTGAAGTCACGTGTCACTGTAGCTAAATCAGACATCTCAAAGGATGAATGAAGATGGCACACCAGTTTTAGCTGTGCGCTCCTTGCCACCACTGAAATCAGAGTTGTCCCCGTGTGCCCTGAAGGAGGTAAGTGGATGTCTATAGCAAAAGCATTAGCATTTTTTTGTGAGGGAGAGGAGAGTGTGAGGTCCTGGGGGGGCACACAAGGTTGCTGGGGGCTATTGCTGGATACCTGGAGAACTACATACAACTTTCAGGCCACACTTTGCCCATCAATGCTGTGGGTGATGACATACAGCTCGCAGCACGCCTGCCCTCCTGGCTGTGCTGATTAAAACTGATGGGAGCAGCAATCAGTCAGGAAGCTGCCCTTTGCCCTCTTGTATTCTGTATCTTACATTATATGGCTGGCAGCTGTCTCTAGGGTAGCCTTCTTTAGATTACCTAGCTCTCCCCTCTGTTGTGTAAATGTTCTACTTCTTACGGTTGTTCGTCATATTGTGGTCTATGGCTTCAAGGTTTTTGCAGTAGCGAACTGACATGTCTTATGGGATTCCATTCCCATGGAATTTCTATACCTCATTGCACAACCACACCATCAACATAGAAATCGAGGCTGATATGCTGTTTCAGGTTTTATTCTTTTATAATGAGGAAGTATCCATTTTTGTACAAATGTATTTTAAATTGATGGACTCTTCACTCAAATTTTTCTGTTCTTGCAGTAGTATTATTGTTGTTTTTTAAGATGGGTTATGTAGAAATAGACATAATAATTTATTCTGTGCAGCAAACATGATGTTTAATTCCACTGAAAAATCATTTAATTCATATTACTGTATTTTCCCGTGTATAAAATGACACTTTTTCCTTAAATAATTTGAGAAAAAATTGAGAGTCATTTTATACACGAAGGGCAGCTTTTACCACTGCCTTTTGCAAAGGTACAGGGCTTAGCAAAAAGGAAAGGGGGGTGTTTCTCTCTTCCTTTTTGCTAAGCTCCATCCCTTCTCAAAAGGCAAGGAAAAGTAGCAGTCACTTTGACAGCCACTTTCCTTGCCTTTTGCCAAAGCACGGGGCTTAGCAAAAAGGAAACCCTTTGATCTCTGCTTTTTCTAATTTGGGGTCAGATAAGCGGGGGTCGTCTCGTACTTTGGGTTGTCTTATAAATGGAAAAATACGATAGTAAGAGCAAGTTAGATCACCTGGCAATTCATTTCTCCCTTCAACAGCTCTGGGGTTGGGGGCGTTGGACCCCTGTGTAGTTCAAAATCCATGTATAACTCTTATGCTGTCAAAAAAGTAACTACAAAGCATAAACAGTGAATTCACACACTCTCTCTATGGTTCTCTTCCATAGCATTGACAATCGTTTTCATAGCGTACTGTGTGTATGAGCTTTAAAGATCCTTATGGCCCCCTGATCTTGAGGCTGAATTAGAGGCAATGTATTTGGCGGCAAGTAAACCACTTTGCTGCCTTCAGTGTTTAACTCATGGGGTTCTGGGTGGCCAGGGGCACACTATTTATTGAATATTCATTTATTGGAATATTTATTTATTGAAAAAAAATCTGTGTATAAACAAAACTGTGCCTCTTAAACCCATGCGATTCAAGGTACTTCATCATGCTTCGTAGCTATGTTTCTAATTCTATTGTTTGTTCTATTCAGAATTCCAAAGATAAAAATATTATGAATCCTTCCAGTTAGAGCTTACCACCAATTGTGAATGATGTCTTGTAATTAAACGCACCAAGGGAGAGATGGAAGAATAGTAGTTAAATTTATTCCCTATTTCTCTTTAGTTTTCTAAATGCATGTATTTTTAAATAAATACATATGTTGTTTAAAATTACCTTTATTTGACATGCTTTTCCCTCAGTGCAGAACAATGTAGCATGTTAATTATTTCAGAATTTGTATTTCACAAAGTTAGAGGCATAAACTCCTTTTAACCATTTTCAGCTGAGTGAACAGATTTCAAATTACTCAGTACTGTACATGCTGTTTGAGAAGTGCTAAGACACTTGTTTGCTAACTATAGATAGTATTGAGTTCTGTATGGAAGAATGAGAGAGTCAACAACTTCTGGCTGTCTCATTCTTCCATACAGATCTAAATATTATCTATAATTAGCAAACAACAGTTGGAATGGGAAGAACTTCTCACAACTGGTAAAGTCTTCCCTTCAGGAACCAAGTTGTGAAATATGCAGTATTTCCTGCAATTTACAGAGTAATCCATGGTTTAAAGGAACCAAAGTTTGGAGATAATAGCAAATCATTGTTTGTTTCTGATCTCATGGTGGATGTGCCATGAAAAGTTTGTTTCTGATCTCATGGTGGATGTGCCATGGAAAAGGGGAAGCCACCTTTGAATGCATGTGTCAGTAGCTTCATTCAGATGATCTTTTTTCCTTATCAGTTTAGCCCCTTTTTAATGGAAGCAAGCAAAGAAAGGAAAACTTCTAATTATCAATACTTCTCAATTTTATTCCTGCAGCAGCAATAATGGCTAGTGCTGCATTTAATGAGAAGATAGTGGCTTGAACATAATTGGATATAAAAGAAGTTCTCGAGCTAACCAAGATCATTTAAATTTTAATTGTGTTATTTCTGAAGCATAGTATATAGTATGCACCCTACACAAAAGCAGGTTATATTTCATAGTGGGAGGTTACACATCATTCATATTCAAACCTGAAGAGATTACTCTAATTGCTAGTTCATTTTTGGTTCTGTAACTTACATTATCATTTTCCCTATGCTTAGACACTGTGACTGCCATCTGTGTTTCATTGACAAATCATACTGATGTGAACACGTTTTTTCCTTGTAAGATATTGGCACCGCCCTAAATTTATGACATGTAATTGTGTGTTTTCCCCCACAGTTCCCAGTGACCTTTCTGTGGAGGAGAGAGAAGAGCTTTTAAATATTCGCCGTAGGAAAAAAGAATTAATTGATGATATAGAGGTAATAATTTCCTTTAAATAAAGTAGTCTTCCTCCTGAAGACTTGTCTGCATAATCCAAAGATACTGTTTTCTGTAATTACTATTAGGATAAGGTGTACCAGCTGCTGTACCGCTGCAGCATCATAAAAAAATGATGTCATGCTGGTGGGATTTGCATAATATAACATTTCAAATAAATTTATTGGAACAGATGTTTGTTATAGGAATGTTCCATTTCTAACTTTTTAAAAAAAGAAACTGATGACCGTCCCAGTAAAATCAGGTGTTCATTGGAAATGTTGTTTAATGTTGCTTTGTATTCTCTTTTTTCAACAGAGGTTAAAATTTGAAATTGCAGAGGTTATGACAGAAATTGATAACTTGACAAGTGTGGAGGAAAGGTAAGTCAGCTCTGACATGTATATTTTATGGAAAGGCGGTTTCTGTTTCAAGTAATTGTTATGAGCCGTGCACAAATAGCCTTTTGACAGTAACAGCTGAGAAGTTGATCTTGCAGGAGTCACGGTTTTATAGCTAATACATTGCATATTTAGAGCCAAGATACACAATGTATCAGCTATACAACTAATACCTGGGGTGTGGACCTGTAACTCAAAGCACTGTCAGCTGAATGCTACTAATTCCTTCGAATTGTAGCATACAAATATATATTTGGAACAGGTTACAACAATTCATGTTAAAGTCAGCAATCACTATGAGCTTTGTGGTGGTATTCTAAGGAGATCGTGGACAGGGCAGTGGGTAACCTGTGGGCAACCTTTTGGCCTCTATCAATTTTTGCAATCTTAGGAGCCTTTCTCTCTCTTGAAATATATTTTCTGTTAAAACGTGCAGAAGATCAAACTCCAACAATTGTTGCTTTCCTTTAGAGGAAGGTGATTGGCTGCCAACGACCTTGTTTGGATCTATCTATCTATCTATCTATCTATCTATCTATCTATCTATCTATCTATCTATCTATCTATCTATCTATCTATCTATCTATCTATCTATCTATCTATCTATCTATTTATTTATTTATTTAATATCCTGCCTATCTAGCCAGCTAAGACCACTCTATGCTGCCCACTCTACCCAAAGGTCTCTGGGCGGCTTACAACAATTAAAATACAATAAAAAAGATAAAACCATTAAAATACAATTAAAATATATACTCTAAAAATTACCATCAGGACCCACAGTTGATATTATTTCTATTTATAAGCATGAGGAATTAAAAAGCAGAAGTGGGACAGGTCCTGGGTGAAGTCTCTACCATTTCCAGGCTAGGAAATAGCTTGTGTCCAAAACACTGAAAGTCATAGCCAGTCAGTGCAAAGCATTGATGTGGAATTTGTGGCCCTCCAGATGTTAGACCACAACAATCCTAAACTGTTGGTGATGCTGGCTGGTGGGAGTCTAGTAACATCTGGAAGGCTGCAAGTGTTCCCACTATAAAGCTATTGCATTGTATTAAATCGTCTGGAAAGGCAGTGCGATTTTTATTACTGTGGCAACCTAAAGAACTCTCAGCCACCCCTGAGCTAGGCAGATGTTCTTGTGTCTAGTATCTGACTGCACTGTTTCCACAGGATCCTCTGCCTGTTACCTTACACATGATACCACGGTATCTGTTATTGTGCGCTGCCACTTCAGAGCTGTGCAAAATCTGCAGATGCTGCGCATTTCCTATTAGTATCAGACTTGCATCTTTATCCAGTAGAACACAAAGTGTCACATTGAAAAGGAATTAAATCGTATCTGAATCTTGGCAGATCAACATTATCCTTCTATGTTGTCTGTCATTTGCAGCATTGAAGTATTCTCCCTTCTACTGACTGTGTTGCTCTGATCCATCTGGGTGTGTAGCAGATAAAATGCATCCTGTATAATGCTGTGGAATTACAGTCAGCTCTGCCACACTATCTTCTGTCTTGATGTCTGAGCTGTAAAATATGTTTTTGTAATGCCACTGGCATAGCGTGTGATGCTACTGGTAAAGAGCAGGACACTCCCACTGCTTCTCTGGCATCAAATCTTCTGCTCGTTCAGCTACTACAGCACTATGTGCTAATAGAGCAGAAGACTTGAATGCATTTGCCAGTACAGTGGCTCAAAGGATTGCATTGTTAATTGGCTTGGATTGAAATAATCCAGTTTAGCTGGTTTGTGGGTTAAAACCATATGCTTTAGCCTTTTCTTAATGCTGCCCTTGCTCAAATGCATGTCAGAGGATTTAAGTACCATTTATTTGAAACTTTTTAAAATGCAAGGGCCACTGTGAATTATTTTCTCAGGTTACTATCTCTCTTTCACATTACCCTTGGTGTCCTTTGAATTTTAGCTGTACAGGATGAACATTTTAAAAAAAGTAAAGCATGTAAATATTCTAGATGTTTAAGAAAATATTTCTATGTGGTAATTCAGTAATGGTTTTCCTTTTATTCCTCCTTCCACCCTTATCTTCCAAATAAATAGCAAAACTACACAGAGAAATAAGCAAATAGCTATGGGAAGAAAAAAATTCAACATGGATCCCAAGAAGGTAGAATATTATTATAAACCGTTTCTTCTTTAAGAATATGGAACATTATTGTATACTTCTATATCTCATTTGCTGTTTTTGCACATTATATTATTATTTCCCTCAGGAATGGCTTTGCCAGTAATACTGTCATTTTGTTTTCTGTTTGTCTGCCCTAAAATCTAAGTATATCTAAAGCCTTGTGTTTTTTTAAATAATTATTTCCTTTGTTTCAGAGAAATGAGCCAGTGGGTTAGATTTCAGATAGTGACAGTTTCCTTAACTCCTAATGATTACAGTTGTTGCCGGAAATACAGTTGGCATGCATTGTGTCTTTCACAGTGAAATTTGCCTCTCGCTTTGTTATTTCCAAAAGCAATTGATTGTTGGTATTCATATCCCAGCTGGATAGTTGTGAAAGTTTCTCTGTGGTAGAGCTCATCAGAGGAAGGGGGAGCAGAGCAAACTATTTCCTGGACTCAAAATAGCTTCTCAGACTGATAAAATGGCATTGGGTTTACTCTGCTAAAATAGGTTACAGTTGTTGAGCAGATTTTTCTTACTTGGCAGCAGGCTATTCTTCTGCTGTTGTTCTTTCTGAAACCTAGCTGTGTCTAAACATACGTTTCTCTTGTCAATAACTGTTTTATTTTTATTATTCTAGTCCATCCAAAACTTTGTTTGAGCTCCTCACTTCTTTGCTTTACAAATCATGTGGATTTCTTTTCAGCAACATACTGCTTAAAATCACATGATTTTAAAACAGCAATAAGACTAGCAATAACATTACTCTAAAGCTCGTTAAATCCCTGTAAAATGTAAATGAACCTGTCCCTTGTCAGGATATAAAGAATGGAGGGAACTGTCATAACCTTTGCGGTGGGTCAGCTATCATACCAATTTTGTACTGTGTAAATAAATCCAGGAGGACCACTGGAGTCAAGTTCTTCCTTCCTTCCTTCCTTCCTTCCTTTTGTTGTTGTTGTTTAGTCGTTTAGTTGTTTAGTCGTGTCCAACTTACTTGTGCACAAAATTCCCTCCCTTTCTCTTTTCCATGTAGTAACTTGTCTTTTCATTTGAATCAGTAAACTACCTTCAAAGCAGTTTTGGAAACTTGATCTTGGTTATCATTCCTGGTTTGCAAGAGAGCACAAACATTAGTTTGTCCATTTTGATGAAATAGCACACTGTGATTTCCCACAAACCAGACAGGAAGAGAATTGCAGAGCATGAGGGGAGATGGGAGAGAATAGATGATCCCAAGAATCTCATAAAGCCTCATTCATGTACAGTGGTGCCCCGCATAGCGACGATAATCCATGCAGCAAAAATTGCTGCAAAGCGATTTCGTCGCTATGCGAAAATAAAAAGCTCATAGGAATGCATTAAAACCCGTTTAATGCATTCCTGTGGGCTTAAAACTCACCTTAAAGTGAAAATCCTCCATACGGTGGCCATTTTCGCTGCCCGGTAAGCGAGGAATCCGCGCGGAAACACAGCGGGCGGCCATTTTTTTTACCCAGCGGCCATTTTGGAACAGCCGATCAGCTGTTAAAAAATCATCACTGCGATAATCAGTAAGCAAAACAGCGAACCGATCATCGCAAAGTGATTTTTACCCATTTAAAGCATCGCAATGCGATTGCAAAAGCAATCGCAAAATCTTCGTTGCTATGCGGATTCATCGTTAAACGGGGCGCCCGTTAAGCAAGGCACCACTGTACTACCAAAATATGCTGTTGTGTTATTTCTGTATTATCTCACATGTTTGTGTTCCCATGTCAAAATTAATAGATGCAATTAGAGACAGATGTATTGATTTCAAGACTAACACATTATATATATAGCCTGTTAACTATATAGTCTGATGAAATATAACACATGTTTAGATTATAATATAGTACATTATATTTTGGGTTCTATATAATTTTTGATACTAACATGCACAAAAATCTAATGCTTCAGCTGTCATTATTTAAATACTGTTAACATTTATCAGATGATGCAGTTTTAATGACATTATGTTATCTATTTTTCCTATCACTTCACAAAGAAATTTCCCATATCATGTCCTTTGACAAGTTGCCACAATGAAAAGACATGTTGTGTTATGAGCAAATTATCTCTGTAATTTATATCTTGAGGGCTAATATGGGATAGATAATAGCTTGTATCTATTTATGTTTGAGTTTTTTTAATAATTAAAAATCCAAGAAGCTATGAACATTAATTAGTAATATAACTGCATTTAATAAGTGTTAAGAAATGAAAGAGAAAGAAGAAATGTCAGAGATCAAAAATAGGTTTATTTGTTTATTTATTACATTTATTGTCATTGTAAGTATATACATACAACGAAATTCACACAGACACCCAGAGACCAGATCCACATGCACACACACAAAAAATCCCGAAGCACTCCCCACCTACTAAAAATCCCCCACTAAAAACACAAACATCTGCACCGCAGGCTAAGTAACACTGTCCAACTGTTCACTGCTGATGGTCTTTAAGTTCATTATTAAGTGCAATTATAGCTCTGGGATAAAAACTATTCAGAAAATGTGTGGTCCGAGTCTTAATTGTTCTGTATCTTCTGCCAGACGGCAACAGTTCAAAGAAGTTGTGAGCAGGATGGGAAAAATCTCTAAGGATGTTGTGTGACTTCCTCAGACAGCGGGATGTGAAGATGTCATCCAGGGTTGATAGCTGGAGCCTGATGATATTCTGGGCAATTTTAATGGTTCTCTGTAGAGCTTTTTTGTCCACTACAGAGCTGCTCCCAAACCATATGAGAATGCCATAGGTTAGGACACTCTCAATGGTACTACGATAGTAAGTCAGAAGTAAATGCTGAGATAAATTTAACTCCCGAGCATTCTCAGGAAATACAGCCTCTTCTGTGTCTTCTTCACTGCAGGATAACAAACACTGCTATTTCTTTTTGGATGGTCCTGTCCATTCTGGGATTGGGTTATCTAGATATCTCTAGCAACAGTGGTCTTAGCATAGTCAGAGGGCAAAGGAGACCTTTATGGTAGAGTATTCAGGATGTTATGAGGGTGTGTACCCATATATCTCTCCACTGGCAGCAGCAAAATGTAAGAAAGAGGCACAAGTAAGGTGTCCTCAAGCCAGTTGACTAGTTGGCTCTGCAGCCAGAGACTCAGACCAGATGGGTGACAAAACTAGCTACAACCATCAACTATTTTGTTAATAGTTTTGGCATCCATGGAGGCAGATAATTTGAATAAGAACATTAAGTGGAGTGGGGTAAGAGCATGGGAATTGACCGTTGTTGAGCAAACCACTGCCTTGTGTGAGTTGACAGAAGCTGTAGGGACTCAATGTTAATGAGTCCTCCTGAAAGCAGCCACTGGCCTGCTGTTTTGGCAGTTTTTCAGTTTAATTTGGAAAATCTATTCTATGACCTATGAATACTTTATTGTTGTTTTGACCACTTCGGTTGTACAACTTTCACTACTTTAAAAATAAGTACAAATAGTAATATATACACAAGCACAGTGCCAGCTTAACAAACACAGTGACGGCAGAGGAAGAAGTACAAATACAGTACAAACGCATTCATCAAAATAATAAGTTAAAAATAAAATACAAAAAGATGGAAATGTACACATAATTTCAATTAAAAATAATAACAATTCATGTCTCTGTTTTATAATATTTATTGTTTTTTAGTTATGACCATCCAATTTCAAACAGTTTTTAATAATTTTTGATTTTTTTTATCATGTATCTTATTAGGTCTGGGACCGTAAATAAAGATTGAATTGAATTTTTTTAAAGTCATTTTAATTTATTGTGTGGATTTTCAAATACTCCCTCCTTAACTTCTGGGCATTGTTACGTACTAGTGGAATCTGATGTTACAGCTTCCTAAACAGCTTCCAAAGTTTTCCTTGTGCCTGTATCAGAGGAATAGTGATCGTGGGCAAGCTCAAGAGTTGTTCAGTCACTAAATGGAGATACAGCATTGCTTGTGTGCAGGAAAGCACAGCCAGTAACTCCTCCTAATATAGTTGTTGGGAAGAAGCTGGAAACTACCATTGCTAACTCATTAAATGTGTTGACTCCACCTAACTAACCACCCACCCTACTCTTTCAATGTTACATTAACTTCTCTGTCTGCATTTGAATGGAACGGAGAAGCGACAGGGTAGTCTAGTGGACTCATTCTCAGGATCTCTTTCTCTGTGTGTATGTGTGCTTGTATGTGTGTGTGTGTGTGTGTGTGTGTGTGTAAAAACATGCATGTGTATTTCACAGCCTGGGAATCTGCTTATCTTGTTTCTGCTATCTTTAAAGCAGGTACCACTCCCCCGTGACTGATACTTGGGAATTCTGATTCAAGGAAACCAGAGTAACTGCCGCTCTCATTGATTTTCTCACAAGTATTGCTGGCTCCAGATACCTCCACCCTAGATGCCCATTATCATTTCTTAATAATGAGGCTTCACTGATCCAAGCACAAGATTTTTTTAAAATGCCTTTGTCAACAATATGCAAAGGAGAGTATTAAGGTTGTACGCAACTGTATGCAAAGTTATCTTCCACATGACATGGGCATAATAGTTTTATGTCCCAGTGTTTTCAGACCATATAGTTCTTGTGAAGAGGAAAACTGTTGAATTTCTTTCTTCCTTTTTGTGCTTGTTAGGGAATCCAGTTTCTCATAGAAAATGACCTCTTGCAGAATACTCCTGAAGACATTGCACAGTTCCTTTATAAAGGAGAAGGGCTCAATAAAACTGTCATTGGAGATTATCTTGGTGAAAGGTAAGCAAACCAAATGTGTGGGTGTGATGTTAAACAACTGGATGTGGGAAACCTTGCTTTGTCTCTTGCTCTCTTTTCCTCGAGTATAGAACATTAGCTTAGCTTCGAGGATACAAACATTCATCCACCCATGCATGTACCAACACAAGGAAAATAAGAATGCCAGAAATGACTCTCAAAATCGCCATGAAAATGTAATTCCACTAGAGCCCTGATGAAAAAATACTTTGAAAAAGATTTGTGCCCAGAGTAATATAATGGCCACAGTCTAAAAATTGCACTGAGAGCTATATCCAAGTGGAAGCCTATGGCAGAGGTTTCTCCCTTTCCCTGTTACCTGACCCTGTTACCTGGTGTCAGAAGATTCAAACTGGGACCTCTACATGTTTTCCAATTGCTCTCCAACTTAATGGATGGACTTTCTCCTATTCACTAGGTGAGGGATTTATTATTCTTAGATATGATCTTCAGCAGCATTTTTTCATTGCCTTTCTTATAAGTTGATGAAAGCACATTGATTGCTGAGTAATTGAAATCATAATGACTAAACAAGGTGATACTGTGTGAGCTTTCTCTATCGCCTGCTGTCTGATTCTTCTAATTAGAGATGCAAAACTTGGAACCTTCTTCATGTAAAGCATGTGCACTAATATCACAACTTGAGACAGCCCATATGAGCTTCTGAACAAAAAAAAACCCCAAAAAATCAACTCCCCAGCTGTAGCATTTTCCTCTTTCTGCTCTCCCCCATCTGTACTTCTTCCGAAACCCAGGAGATCATGAACAAATTTCTAAATGATGTGGATTTGTGAGGTGAAGACCACTTTTCTAAAATTAAAGCAAAAAGATATGGATGTCTTTTCACACATACTTAACTAGGCAGAGGGCATGTTTGCAAATAATATAAACTTATGAGTTATGTTAGATAATTATGGTAATTAAATGGTAATTAAATATTTGCGTGCAAATTATTTTTCATGTTAGTTTTCTTTTTTTATGAGTTTTCTTAATTATTTCTTGAGATTGATGTGAAGCAGTTGATGTTGAGACAAAAAAAGGCCTTCCTAATTTCAGGAGGCAGCTGTTTGTCTAACTATTAGCGATGAGCAAAGTCCGTTCTAATAATAGTACTTTTTGGCTATTTAGTGTTGCTTTTTCTGTATGTCCTATTGATGGTACTAGCTTAGGCAGGCATTTGAGAAGGGGAGGGGGTTCTGTCCTCAGCTGTTAATATGAACAAATGATAAATGAAAAAGCTGTTTGGGTTGCAAATTTAATTTTAAAAGCATAGAATTAGAATCAATTAGCTATAATTAATGCATAATGTAGGCTGCAGCGTTAAACTATCCTGAGAGCTTATTTATCCAATTATTCTGGATTTCTTGGTCTGCAGATAGTTTCAGGCTCCCTGCACCCACCTCCTCCCCTTTTACGTGCTTGAAAATAGTACACACTCTGGCAGGCACTGAGAGTGTCTTAATAAAGACCAGATCCCCTTATTGTGATGTAATGCTTCTTGGATACAAGAAAATAGGACATTGTTCACAGGTTCTATCGCGTTCATGGAACTGCAGAAATAAGAAACGTAATTGATACTGGAAGGATAGCTGTTTCTGAGCTTTTTCAAAGTCGATATCCAACACAATATTTTAGTGCATCTTAGAAATATGTTTTCCTAAGTGTACACAGCTGGAAGGTGCATAAAATGGACTATGCTACAATAGAATTGTGCAATTCCTTCTTTACTTTGTGGCTGAGTGATCTAGTGCCCTGTTCAGTGTACTTGGGAGTGATCTGCGCTTGGGAACACATTTTCTTTAGAGGGGCCCAAATCCTTTAAATATCTTTTAAAAGAGGTTTTGTAATGTACTTTGATGCAATTAAAATGTAGACAAAAACTTTAGAGAAACACAATTTTAAACTGCCTTCTTCACTAACCATCATTTACTCATAGATGGTCAGATATGGATTAAGGCACCCAATGTTTGAAGTATTCCATTTCTGTGGGTAGTAATTTAGTAAAACAATAATAAACATTATTCCTGAGTAAGTAGGCTGCCCAAGGGCAGCATACATTTGGACAGAACCTAACACTGCTGTTGGGATTCAACTAAAGATGTAGTACTATGATATATCTCTTTTACATGCAGTTGATGTAGTGGAATCAGATTTCATTATCTGATCCCGTTATCTACAGTATTTCACATACACTTTCATGCTTGCTTGGAAGTAAATCCCACTTCTGAATTTCACTTCTCAAGTCTTCTGTGTGCTGGTTATGTCAGCTCAGAAGACAGAAGTTGTAGCCAAGTGTATATTATTCTTAGGAGTAGTTTTTGAAGTGGCGTCCTCCATGTTAGTTGGAGCAAGTGTATCAACAAGAAGCACGAAACAGTTGTAATGCATAAGGTATTTGCCAAAATAATAAAGAAGACACAAAGCTCACGTTAAAATATAGCAGTTAGTCTTTAAAGTGCCACAGTGTCTTTGCCATCTTTATTTTTCTGCTTTGTGTTGTGTTTCTTGTGGTTGTTCTTAGTGAAGTGTGAGATGTCTTGAACATTTTCCGAACAGTTTCTTGTCATTTCTCCCATTGGTCTTATGTTTTTTTAATATTCTAATTACACATCTAAAAGGCATTCCATGTTCCTAACTGTTTTTAGGGAACATTACTTTGCAATGTGAACACATGAAAATAATCTGCAGTTATATAGATTTGTTGTAGCTTGAAAGATATAGCTTGGTGAGCAAAATGTTTCATTTTTTTTCTTTCATATTTTCGTTAATTATTTGGTCACTTTTTATTCCTGTTTTACAAATGAACTGAACATAAGAGTTAATTAATTGCCAAAGACAAACCAAAGAGCCTTTGGCTAAGTTGAGATAGGTGGCCATATTAATGAAATCCTTATCTAAAATTGGGTCTCAATCTTCAGCTGTTTGGTTGGAAGCCAAAGGGATCACTCCACAATCTTTAACTTACATTTGGGGATCTTGCTCCTGTGCAGAGGGAAAAGTGTACCGTATTTTTCCGTGTATAAGATGGCTCCATGTATAAGACCTCCCCCCACTTTTCTACCCCAAAATTAAGAAATCTAAGTGGGGCTTAGCAAGTGGAGGGGAAAGCAGGGATCAAAGCCTTGCAGATCGCTTTGATCCCTGCTTCCCCCTCCACTTGGTTTTTCTCTCCTCAGCTTACTTCCGTGTATAAGCCGACCCTCAATTTTTAGTCTAAAGATTTTAGACAAAAGTATAGTCTTATACACGGAAAAATATGGTATTTGCCGCACTGAAACTACAGGGGGCTTAGCAAGTGGAGGGGAAAGCAGGGATCAAAGCCTTGCAGATCGCTTTGATCCCTGCTTCCCCCTCCACTTGGTTTTTCTCTCCTCAGCTTACTTCCGTGTATAAGCCGACCCTCAATTTTTAGTCTAAAGATTTTAGACAAAAGTATAGTCTTATACACGGAAAAATATGGTATTTGCCACACTGAAACTATACTGTTTCTAGAGTGAACAAACCATAAGGTTTTTGCCTTTATCACCTGCTTCTTATGCAGAAGCAAATTTATTTGCAGGATAGTAACAAGGTAACAAAGAACCGACCTACAGGTACTGCCCAAAGAATTCTTCTTGAGTGTATTAGCTAAATGTCAGTTACTTTCTTTGTATAATCAACTGAAGGTAAAAACACTCTTTTATTGTGTTGTTCTACTTGTTTCCCTTTGGCGAGAGCTGCCATAGTATTTATGCAACAAGAGCATGCTCTCATCCAATTTAATGAGTGAGGCTTTCAACATATTAATTAAAATACCTGAAAACGATTGTTTTGTTTTAGAGGCAACAGTTCACCATAGATACCTGTCTACTTATTCTTGGGCTGGAAGCATCATCTGCAAAATAGTCATTTAATGATGTGTGTCATCCAAACTATAAAGATTGTATGTAGGACTTCATATTTACATGTGTCTAATGTTGCAGTAATATAGAATTGTGCTGAGTCAGAGTAACTACCTTAATTGAATTGTTACTTATGTAGCATGCTAGCTAATGCTTCATAACCTCATGGGAATTTCAATTTTGGTTAGAGAAATTTACATTGTGGAATTGTGCTGAGTCAGAGTAACTACCTTAGTTGAATTGTTACTTATGTAGCATGACTAGCTAATTCTTCATAACCTCATGGGAATTTCAAATTTGGTTAGAGAATTCTACATTGCATTGAAGGATAAAATCTAAAACTCAATGAAAATATTGCTCTTTTGCTACACAGCTTTTAGTGTGTAATGCCACTAGTTCCTGTTAGAATCTGATTATTTCCAGGTTTACCTTCAAGAAGAACATGTTTCTAGCCTTTGTGACTGTAATTCTGAACATGTGATGACAAACTGAACTTCATGTACATTTATTTCTGCTTCTTAATTTTAAGTTTGCTATCTTGGGGGACTCTGTGCACACACTTTCCTGAGTTGTCTCTGGGAGGGAAGACTATGGGCACATAGAAAATTTCCTAATAGCTTTCCTAATTCATATTTGGATCATTTTGACTGTCAGTTCAGCTACAGAAGTAGCTGCTATCTTCTTTCAATTCTGAGGGCTCTCAGGACCTGCAGGCAGCCACTTTTGAGTTAGAATTATGCCCATCCTATTTGGAAACCAACCCAGAAGAAGCTGAGTCCTGTTTGGCTTGAAAAATCAATGTGGTTGTTGTTAAATGTATATTAATGCAGGCTTTGGCATAAATGCTTCTTTTAGGTGACTGAAAAATAACACTACTTATGGAGATTGAGGGTGGAAGGTGTGTCAAATTGGATATACTCTAGATCCTGCCAGTCACTGATGTCCTTGTTGAGTATATCCCCATTCTGCAACTTCAGTTTTTACTTAGGTGTATCATCTAGTTCTGGACTCCTGTCACCTTTCATGGTATACATGAGTTCATTGAGTGTAACATTGTTAGCATAGGACTTCAGATCTGTTTCACGTGTTCCTTGTACTTTTTGATAGTACTTGGACTGAAGCAGCAGCAATGAGGTCATGGTATTCATTCTGTCAGTTGGGTGGTCCAATTGAGTGGCCCAGGAGGTAAGGCACCAGAAGCTGACTCTGGGGAATCTCAGTTCAATAGCAGTATGCAAACAGTGCTTAGCAGACAGTCAACCATGTTCCCTCAGCTAGCTAGCTGAGGGATGGGACAAAGACTAGGGTAACACTTAGTTATCTGAACTGCCCAAACCAAACAAACTTTAAAGAAAAAAAGTCACCAAATTTTATGGAGGCTTTGATGGTCATCAGACTGGTTTCTTAAGATACTATGAGAGGGAGTGTGGGGGTGGGAAGGGGATGCATTGATGTTATAGATACTAGGAATTAGAAAGTCTTTTTTAAAAAGGATCAATTGGTGCTATAATATATCTTTTTTCTTTTATAGGGATGACTTCAATATTAAAGTACTTCAGGCTTTTGTTGAACTCCATGAGTTTGCTGATCTTAATCTTGTACAGGCCTTAAGGTAGGCATGTCTTAAAATATTATAAAATATTGTCCTAAACATTTGTCATTTTTAAAGTGGGTGTCACGCTAATAATCGCTGAGTTCCCTACTCTGTTCTCATAATCTGATTGAGATTTGTGGGCTGAAGTCTTCATAAAGTGGTGATACTAGATATACTTATGCATAAAACTAAGCCGTGATAGTGTTACAACAATGAACCTTGTGGTTCATGTGTCGCCTGCCATCATCTCTAGACTGATTCATCCACAGTTAATGTCCCAACAGTAAACTTTAGTTAAACCTAACTATGATTTGCTAACACCAGCCAGTTTTATAACACAGAATTGAATTGTTTTAGTGAATCATTATTAACTAACTGCAGTTTGGCTAAGGTTAGACGTCGCAATGAGATGTGGTTAGTCTAAAATGAAAGTGAATGCATCCAACCACTCCATGCAGTGTGTCAGGACAAGAGGAGGAAGAAGGAAGGCACAGCCTGATATCCAGACAGACTCGTTATTGTAACACAAACCCGTGGCTTAGTGTGGCATCTGAAAATTTAAAGCTCTAGAATATTCCGAGGAGTCCTGCGCAGGCGCAGTAAAACCCATTTGTATGCATTCACAGAGGACCACTCAAAGAACTATGGTTACAAGTAAGTAACCTCTCTTTTCTAATTAGGATGAACTCAAAAACAAGCAAAACACGTTATAGTGGGTCTTAACTGACATACAATGCCATGTATATTTTGCAGGCAATTCCTGTGGAGTTTCAGGCTTCCAGGAGAGGCTCAAAAAATAGATCGCATGATGGAAGCTTTTGCTTCACGTTATTGCCTTTGTAACCCTGGAGTCTTTCAATCTACAGGTTAGTTATTATGGCTTTCTTATATCTCTTGATTGCGTCACAAATTATGTTATTTGATATCAAGTCCATCTTGATTTACTATAACCCTCTCAAGTTTTCTGACTATGAAGTACTTAGAAGTGGTCTACCAGCCCTCCTTGGTGCTCAGGGTTGAGTACATAATCCCACAGCCCTGCATGCTCCAGGTGATCCC